AAAGGAACCACCAAACCCAAAACCTCCATTTTTTTCTAGTGCTTTCTTAAAAGGTTTCTTAGCTAAAGGGGAAGATTGCCACAGAGCGTAAGTCATTGCGTAGCCTTATTTATAGACTTCTGAAAACTTCTTTACATGCTTCCTGAGATCTACAAACTCTTGTAGTTCATGGATATTGTCTCTCCATTCAGCAGTTCAGAAAATACTTGTTGTTTCTACCAGCCTGGACTTTACTGCTGGTTTTTTCTTGGCTGACCTTTTTTAGCATTTGCTACAAGCATCCAGCATTAATATAGCTTAGAACAACTTTAGCACAAATTCTTTCGGTGTATAATTAGTATTGACTTGCCCCTTCTTTTCAAAGCTGGCAGGTGTTAACCCTAGCGTTTGCAGTTACCAGTGAATCTAGTTTTCTGTACATTCAGCTGCTGGAAACTTCGAAATCCATCGTGAAGATGCTCATTCTAATCTTACTTTGATATGGGGAGATCTGAAAACAAAGTCCCCTGCTGTTGAGGAGTGTTATTTTAAACCTCTGCTAAATACCTTAAAGCTTTTTAGGGAAGAACCTGGGCTGCCTGTCTCTTGCATCGGCTAACTCGACCCTAGTACACATTGGGACCAGCTGGTAGAACATGCTGCACAACTTTTTACTTATCCTGGTAGGTTTTTTCCTGTGCTTTGACAAGAGTTGATGCTCCTTCTTTCTTTAATATGTTTTTATTAAACATTCTTACCAAAAAATTGTACTTGGTCACATTTTATATTAACAATGTTTTAATAAAGTCACTTTAAATAGAACATTCAAGGCTTTTGTACTGCTTTGTGTGTTGTCCTTTATACTCAGTTTTCCTCAGTGCCATTGGAGTTGTTCAGGGCGTCTTGAATCTGGCTGAGAGGCAGCCAAGAATGATCTGGTCTAGAATTTAGAAACTGAATTTTTCAGGTCAGGGAAAAAAAAAAAAAAATCAATACACTGCAGCTGTCTTTCAAGCTTTTAAGTGAGGGTGTTTGGGGAAGTATCTTTGCTTTATCATTTTATATGACAGCTGGGGACAGGATGAGATTTGGAACTTTTTATGAAGACTAAAATCTATTTGTATTTCACTGTAGTAGACTTAAACCTGACACACACATCCCACCCCACCCAATATCTTCAGACAATCCAAAGCAGTATCTGGATCAATATTGCAGGAGCAATTTGAAAACTGCATGTTGAGGTTTAACTGCACTCGACAACTAAACACCACGCAGCCGCTTGCTCACTTCCCCCAAGCAGGGTGACGGAGAGAATCAGAAGGGTAAAAGTGCAAAAACTCCCGGGTTGAGATAAAGACAGTTTAACAGGTAAAGCAAAAGCCACGCAAGCAACGCAAAATAAGGAATTCATTCTCCACTTCCCGTCGGCAACCTCACTGTGCTTAGTGCGAATGGCCAGAACGGGCAGTGACAAACTTTCGGGCAGTTTTCCTATCAGTTGATGGTTACATACAGGTTTTAAAAGCATGTCGCACAAGGGCAGATGCTAGCAGAGGCCGGTGAGTAGTCTCACTTTCTGCCTTTTGTCTTATGGAGTAAGTTCTCAAAGTGTAAGAGAGTCAAACATGCAGCTACAAGGATAGTTTTTCTTCTGCGTGCCCACATCCGCTTCTTCCAGAACTGTATTTTGAAAAATAACTCGATTTGGTTTATACTTGAGCTGAATTTCTACCAACAACTAAAAAGGCATTTGAAGAAGAATTTGGTTTGGAGAGACTCTACAGCAAATTGAGGGGTGGTATTCCAACCACATTTAGGATCTGACCTACGTATAGTTTGCTTCAGTCTTGTTTAAGCTCTGTCTTAACTTTTAGAAGTCCACTCTAATACAGGCAAACCCGCAGCATCTGGGTGCAGTCTCATAACCGAGTGAAGACTTGTAAAGGCAGAGTAGAAAACACGCTGTGGCTGCGATAGCGATCAGTTTATTTATTTATTGGTGACTTCAGCCCTAGCTGCTGAGGTCCAGGCAGCCCCGGGGTGTCTTTGACGTCACGGCTGTGGGTGCTGGAGCAGCACCCAGCAGGCAGAGTCCTGTTGATTGCTCAGCAACAGCATCCCCCAAAGAGCTCGCAAGTCACGTCCCTGAGATACAAACCCGACTTTGTAGGCGTTATTAGGTAGGGGCTTTGCTGTCTGAGTTTGCCCGCGACCCACTTGGATCAGTACGTTCTTGTTACTGTGAGGACAAACCCATCATTTGGCTGTCCTGCGTTTGTGAATGCACAAATTTGTGCATTTTATTTAACTCATTGTTAATGAGTTAATGCCAGTGAAAGCTTTTACAGAGCGGGTAAGCCAGGCACACCTGATTCTTCTCAACAGGACACTTCCTACATTTCTGTTGAAAATCTGTTATTGTCTCCTTTCACACATAATATAACCAAGTAGTTCATAACGAGGATCTACATCTTCACCCGACCTCCCACCGTCTGGGGAGCTTTGACAGCCACCTCTAGAGTCAATGAATGTGAGGTGGGAGATGACCACAGGATTCGTTTGCATCCCTCATCCAGCAGCTCCCCAGTGGTACTGAACTGCACCCGAAGGATGCCCATCTGAGAGCAAGTTTATTCCACCCTAATGGAGCACCGAAGGAAACCTCGCAATTAGCTCGGCCCTCTCCTTCACCGGACCCTCCGTCCCCTCGGATCCTCTTCCCAGGGGCATTGCTCCTTCCCGTTCTCCTCCCAGCCCTTCACGGTGAAGATGCCAAGGGACAGGGCACAGCTCATCCTGCTCCTCCCCAGCAGCCCGATTTTCTTACCAGGACACGCTCACGTGTTCAGCACAGTAGAGGTACCTTCTCTTAGGGCAGCTGCCGGGGTGGACAACTGCCCGTCACCCCTGAGCCAGGCTTGGCTGAAACCTGGCAGCCGTGTCTCTACTCATCTTCAACCCAACCCCGTATTTTTAAAGCTTGCCATCTTTCTGTAAGCATCATTCTGGATTTTACTCCGAATCTCTTCTGGGGCAAAAGATTCCATTAGGCAATCTCTAAATCCCAGCGTTTATCAGCCCTGCTGCCTAATGGCTGCGAAACTTGGACCTCATACGGGACCGAGATACAGGGCTAAATGCCCTTGGCAGGTCGGGATTTTATTGGGATGCCAACAAGTCAAAAAAACATGTAGCTGCCCTGGAAATAGCTTACTGCAGTTTTCCTATAATGCTTGTCTCCAAAACGAATGAGGGAATGAAAAAAAAAATAAAAATGGATGGGGGAGGGGAAGAGG